TCAAACCACCTGTCTTCTTTGTCCAAAATGTGAACATTCTGGTCCTCCAAAGAATGTCCTTTGTTCATAAGGTGTAGAAGGACAGCTGAGTCGCTGTTCTGTGTTGGGCCATGCGTTTATGGAGAGGATGTTTGGTTTCTGATAGACAGGTATGGGGCATTACAGGCTAACAAAGTTAGTTTCAATTTGCATGTTTTCTAAACAAAAACCAGGCTTTGTTGGGCTGCTGGATAAAACCTGGAACTCAACGCTATTTCTGACATTTTGAATTAAAAAATCTTCCTGGATGGAAGAGAAACGTCTTCAAACTTGGAAACAAAGTCCAGTGGATTGTTTTTTTATTTACTTTTTTTGAATGACTATGACCTGGATGACTAAGAATCTTCACCAGCATACAGATTTTATACTTTTTTCATCCAAATTTCTGTTTTTCCGGAAAAAAAAAATACGAATTGCATTTTACAGAACACATTTTCTTCCCTTTATGGGGGGCCTTTCCTCTCAATTCAGCATTTCTATTGGCCAGCATGCTATATTTTTATTGGTCAATGTCAAAAGTACGGTGGCTGGGAAGTGCAAACCAACTACACAAAATCTGAAACACTTTTACAAATCTTGAAACAAACTTTTATTTCAGAAAACAAATTTACAACAAAATTCAGCTTGAAGTGAAAATAAAAATTCCAAATATTTCTTTAAAAAAGTATACAATTTTCAAATAAAAGCAAAAAAAATCTGAGAAAACATTACAATCTTTTTTTTTATTTAAAAGTTGTACAAAGTTTTAATTCTGGGTTTCATTTCCTTCGAATATTAATCTACAAAACAGAAAACAATGCATTTTAAACAGAGCAGCATAAAACAACTGAGCATCAATAAAAAAGGAAAACTTTGAAAAACGTTTTTTTTTTCAAAAATTAGTGAAAGTAACAGATGTTTTCCGAGATTTTATTATTTCAAATAATTCCACTGAATGTTATTTTTTTGTTGTTTTATTCTCTAAGTTTTTTTATACATCAAAATAGTTATTTTTAATCAATTATACAGATATATATTTTTCATATTTATATTTGCCTTGAAATTAATTTCAAAATTCTAAATCTGAAATCTTTAAAAAATGTTTATTTCTTTCAAATAAAATCAAACAATGTCTTAGAAAAAAGCAAAGTTACTCTTAAAATCTTTTTTTTATTATTCTGGCTGCTCAGAAAATGCATTTTAAACAAATCACAATAAAACAACTGAGTATCAATGAAAGTGAAAAATAAGAAAAATACCAATAAATGATCTTTACAGACGCTACTTTGTTCATACTGGAAGGTCCTCACACTTTAAGAACCTATGATGGTTGTTTGACAAAGAAAACACCGGACAGCATATCAGTCATTCTTTAAAACAAAGAGGAGTTGAGGATTTCCATTCCCTCAGAATAACCTGTTTAGTGAGCAGCAAAGCAAACATAAGCGCTGCAGGAGAGACGTGGGCAGAGTGAGGGGAAAATGTAGAGAAAAAGATCCAATGGTTTCCATTTGTCACATACTGGTTTGGGAGACGTGCAGCTAATGAATAACTCTAAAAGGAATAAGTCTCCATGCCTCTTTAGAAGGTGGGGTCCAAATAAATAACAACACAAAGTGAGCAAAGAACATTTCAGCTGTTTAAAAGCTCAGATTTAAATGTTCTATATTGAGTGGTGCTGAAAGGAGGAGGCAAAGTTCTGAAAAATGGAGGAAAAGATGGAAAAACCAGGGAGACTCAAAACAGTCGGTCTGCTTTAGAATCCAGAAGGATTTATTTTTTCCTTGAAATGATCCTTCAGTTGGTTAAAAGGTAAAGAAAGAAAACAGCATCAGCGGAACTAGTAACTGTTCATTCAGTCGTCTTTGTGTCAGTAGTTACGGCTGGCTGTTGGTTATGTGAAGCAAAAATGAAAATTAATTTCTGGGAAACATTCCGATCTTAATAAAGCAGAAAATCTAAAACCTCCTCCTGGTTCTGAGGCTTTTATAGAAAGAAATGGCTTTGAAATAATACAGGAATAAATCTCCAGCAGGCCGTTTTCCTGCAGAGGAATGAATGTTGTTTGTAATCATTAATCCTTCTTGGAGCAACGCCGCCCTCCGTTTACCGCACACTGCCTGAGGGTTTCCCTCTGCCTACTGGAAAGAAAAGAACAAGACAAGCAGGAATGAAAAGTACTGCTAAAAAAAGAAAGTGGAGAAACCTGAATATTTCCACCAAGACGTAAAACTTGGACTTTTTATCTTATCAGTCTCTGAGCTCAGCTGTGTTGCATCACTTTGTTTTTACATTCTACTTTGGTTTCTGTTTTATCAGCTAATCAGTTTTTACACGCCAGCTGGGTTCCCATTGACCATCAAAATGCTCAACAATAACATGTGCTTGATGGAAACATTAATGAACTTGGTGCATTTCACAGATCAGTAAAAAAAAAAAAGAAAAAAAATGTATTTGTATCACATGATCAAATGTTGTTTGGCAGGAGGTGCACCTCTGGTAAAACATTAAATTAAAAACCGTTCATAAATGTTCAATCTATTTTTAAATACAGAAGCAGAAAGACTCTCCTACAAACATTTATAGGTTATATGGAGGGAATTTAGTTCCATTATTGTTGCAGCTAGGAAACACATTAGTGAATGGAAATATGAAAAAAAAAAAAATGCAATCCAGAAAATAAATCGTTGAAATTCGTTGTATTAAAAAATTAATTTGAACGTAAAAGATGTTTTATCAGATTTTTTGGGTTTTATTTTTAATTTTTTTTTTTATAAAAATGTTATGTTTGCATATTTTTTTGACCAATTTATTCTACAGATTACCGTGAGGCAGACACCCTGTCTACTTTTAAGGCTAGGCTTAAAACTTTCCTTTTTGATAAAGCTTCTAGTTAGAGTGGCTCAGGTTATCCTGAGCTATCTCTATAGTTATGCTGCTATAGGCTTAGACTGCTGGAGGACATAGGGACCCCTTTTTCATCATTCTGCTTCATTCTATCTCTATTCTCCCACTCTGCAGAATCTGTTAGTTCAATCTCTAACGTTCTGCTCTCTCTGCTTTTTCTCATAGTAGCTTCATCTGGTCTGTTCCTGTTTGGCTGTGACTCCATCCTGGAGAGAAATATCAGCTGTGCTGCTGCCATCAACACCTTTGTTTCTAGATGTTGGAGCTTGGCCTGTTTTTCAGTGTAGTCCTGTTTCTCTGACTGTGACTAACTGGATGTGCTCTCTTCATCCTCTGACATGGGAGCTGGCTCGGAGCTCGTCTGCCTGGCTGTGTGTTTCCTGGACAGGGCCGCCTGTGGAGCTGGTTGACAGTTGCCTTTTGTATCTATGCTTCTTTTTCTATGTCTGCTTCTGTCTCCTTGAACCCCAGTCGGCCTCAGCAGATGGCCGCTCACACTGAGCCTGGTTCTGCTGGAGGTTTCTTCCTGTTCAAAGGGAGTTTTTCCTCTCCACTGTCGCTACAAGCATGCTTAGTGTGAGGGATTGCTGAAGAGTCAATGAGTCGATGCAATCAGCTGGTTTTCCTTAGATAGAAAACTTTGAATCAATCTGACTGGATGATCTGATGAACTGTAAAGTGCCTTGAGGTGACATGTGTGTGAATTGGTAATATAGAAATAAACTGAGTTGAACTGAATAACATATTTTTGCATTTTCAGTCTGAGTTTTACAATTTTCTTTTTTTTTTAATTGGTTTTACAGATCCCATTCTCTTCACTTCAAGCCGAATACAAACACGCCCTCCTGACCAATCAAATGTAGAGAGCCCGCCCCACAGGCAAACAGAATGAAAATCTTAATAGAAAAACTCTCTTTAAAAAAATTTGAAATGTGGACATTTTTTGGGGGGAAAATTTAAGTTTGTAAAAAAAAAAAGAAAAAAAACAATAAGTTTAAGAAAAAAGCAAATTCTGTTGAAACTCTAAAAAAAACTTTTTTCTAAGTTTCATTTCTGGATTGAATGTTTTCCCACTTTCTATATGCGAAACTTTGCAACAATAAAGGAACAAAATTCACTCCAAACTATTATAAGAGGCGAAAGAGACAAAGCAGACAGGAAGTAGTGGGCGGCTGATGGAGATGAATGCTTTTAATTATTTAGGGCACGTACCAACCTATAAACATTGTCATGGGGAATTTGTTTTTTTCTACAATAGCAGAATATCTGCAATGTTTTGCAGACATAATGAAAACACAGCTGCTGCTAGTCGAGTATTTGGTGTTTTTTGTTGGTTCCTGGCAGGTTATAAGGATCCACACAAACAAATTCAAACCACAGGAGATTGTTTTTTATTTGACAAATCCGCTGCGTAAATGAGTCAACATGAAGAAATTCATCAGCGAGGTACTAGAAGTATAAACATAGAGATGTGGAGGGAGATAGGCAGCGGTTCCTCATACTTAGAAAGTCAAGAATGGGAGTTAACACCCAGAGGAGAAAGGAGAGCCGTCATGATGACACCACAGCGGATTGCTGGAAACTTTGGCTCTGGTTATCGGATATTTCATCTCATTTCAGGCGAGGAATGTGGTTGTTTATTAGCGTGATAAACACGACTATAATGACTTCTTTGTTACTTTAATTATTCACCATCCGAGGAAGTAAAACTGTGTATTGTTTTATTAATATAAACAGGAAATGGGAAACAGAATAGAAAGGCATGGTGTGTGTGGGACTGTTGGCTCTTAGTTTGCTGAGTCCTGCAGTGGCGCCTCCAGAAGGTTTCATAGGGGGGGCGATATGGGGCCACTAAAACTCTTGGGGTGGCCACTGAAACTAAAAGCTGAATCTACTACTGTGGTTAACCTGCCTGTAGAAATCAGAAAGACTGAAGTAAACACCTGGTTATGGTTTATTGTGTGATTTTTAATCGCTGGCTGTGCATAATGGGAGGAAATGCTAAACTGATGAGTACAATTTATACTGGCCAGAGGGGGGGGGCAATGAGGTGGCCAGGGCATTGCACAGGGTGGCTGTGGCTGACCAGACCCAGCTGCTGGGATGATCATGATGGACAGAGTTAGATGAAGGGGCTCCTGGTCACCAGGGACGGGTGCTCCTGTATTCCTGCTTCTGCTTCACCCAGCGTGCAGCGGAGCAGCTCCCTCCCACAGTCCAGGACCAATCCGGCGCTTTTCTGCCGTTTTCTGTCTCTTTCAGAGGTTTCTGGTCTCCTCTGCACACGTTTTGTTTACTGACCAACATGCAGGACTTCTCTGCAGGTTCCTGGGACTCCAGATGCCCTTCTGTGGATGTCAGGATGCAAATGTCATCACTTTGAGGCAGACGAGGAGCCGGCTGCGACCTGGTGAGCAGGAAGAAAATGCTGGGGTCAGAGGGCGTAGAGATAGAGCACACAGAAAGAAAGCAACAAGTTTGAAGGTTTATTTCTAAAGGCTCACTTCAAACTTTGATGATCAAACTTCCACTAGATGATTGAAATCCTTTATGTGGCGTTTAATAAAATGACTGAGAAGTTGTGTCGCATGCTGCCTTAATATGGAGTAAGATGACTGTCAATAAAAACGTTTGCTGAGGTGTGAGCCGGCCGGATGCTAAACGCACACAGCTGATTGACTTTCCTAATGTGAGGTTAGAGGAAAAGTTCGGTCATATTCAGAATTCAAACTTCTGAAAGTATTTTAAATATGAAATGATTATATAATGCTCAATAAATGTTTTTAATTCAGAGTAATTTTCATGTGAATGTGCTTTACTGGAGGCATCCATGTTTGTCAAAGAACACTACTGGAATTTCCTTCTTTCATCTGAGGAACATTGCAAAAATTAGAAATCTCCTGTCCAGGGGTGATGCTGAGAAACTAGTCCATGCATTCGTTACTTCAAGGCTGGACTATTGTAATTCTTTACTATCAGGAAGTCCACAAACTGTAGTTAAAAGCCTTCAGCTGATCCAAAATGCTGCAGCCAGAGTTCTAATGAAAATTAAAAAGAGAGATCATATCTCGCCTATCCTGGCTTCTCTTCATTGGCTTCCTGTTAAATCAAGAATAGAATTTAAAATCCTCCTTCTCACATATAAAGCCGTAAATGGCCAAGCTCCATCTGATATCAGAGATCTGATTGTTCCTTATGTTCCTAACAGAGCACTTCGCTCTCAATCTGCAGGTTTACTAATCGTTCCTAGAATTTCTAAAAGTAGAATGGGAGGCAGATCTTTTAGTTATCAGGCTCCTCTCCTGTGGAACCAACTACCAGTTTTAGTCCGTGAGGCAGACACCCTGTCTACTTTTAAGGCTAGGCTTAAAACTTTCCTTTTTGATAAAGCTTCTAGTTAGAGTGGCTCAGGTTATCCTGAGCTATCTCTATAGTTCTGCTGCTATAGGCTTAGACTTTTGGAGGACATAGGGACCCCCATTTCATCATTCTGCTTCATTCTCTCTCTGTTCTCCTATTCTGCAGAATCTGTTAGTTCAATCTCTAACCTTCTGCTCTCTCTGCTTTTCCTCAGAGTAGCTTGGCCTCGTCTGTTCCTGTTTGGCTGTGACGTCATCCTGGAAAGAAACATCAGCTGTGCTGCTTCCATCAACACCCTTGTTTATAGATGTTGGAGATCGGCCTGTTTTCCAGTGTGGTCCTGTTTCTCTGACAGTGACTGAGTGGATGTGCTCTCTTCATCCTCTGACATGGGAGCTGGCTCGGAGCTCGTCTGCCTGGCTGTGTGTTTCCTGGACGGGGCCGCCTTTTACAGCTGCTTTTTCTATGTCTGCTTCTGTCTCCTTGAACCCCAGTCGGCCTCGGCAGATGGCCGCTCACACTGAGCCTGGTTCTGCTGGAGGTTTCTTCCTGTTAAAAGGGAGTTTTTCCTCTCCACTGTCGCTACAAGCATGCTTAGTGTGAGGGATTGTATTTGAGTCAATGACTCAATGCAATCAACTGGTTTTCCTTAGATAGAAAACTTTGTATCGATTTGACTGTATGATCTGGTTGAACTGTAAAGTGCCTTGAGATGACATGTGTTGTGAATTTGGCGCTATATAAATAAACTGAATTGAATTAATACTGCCACCTACTGGTTAGTGACGTCACGGTGCGGTATCGGCTGTTGATCAAGTCCCAGTGCTGTATCTGCTGTTTGTCACAACGCGCTATTATCCAAGTCATCTTGAAAACATTCTTCTTTTATCATTGTCTCCCTTTTATCTCCTCTTTCTTTCATCTTTTCTCCTTTTTCCTTTTCTGTTCTACTTTCCCATTGCAGTGTCCACATTATCTGTAATACTCCCTGCATGAATTATAATAAAGCAATTTACATGCATAAAACAAATAAAACAACTATGGCGATAGCCGTACTGCTCCACTTGTGAAAGTAAAATCTGTTGGGCTCTTTTAGGCATCAAGACATTTATTCTTATCGACACATTGCCAGACAGGACACTGTTAAAAAAGAAAAAAAAAGAAAACATTCTTCTTCCAAATGTTGGCTACATATTACGGGTTTTTTCTCTGGCCAGAAGTTCGATGGCAAATCCTCCCTCTTCAAGTTGGCGATCCAACGACCAACCCGTCCGTGGAGGATCAGGAATCAGAAAGGTGGAATAACTCTTTTTTTTCACTTTTACCCGATGTATTCCAGCATCCAGCTGCCATGCACGTGGGCATTGTCAGTTTCACTATAGCTCTGGTGAATTTCAAAGGTGAAGTCCTCTGGAAATCTTCAATAATTGTTGTTGATTGCAGATGTGTCTAGTAGTTCCCATTGATTTAGCTTGTAAAGCGGGGAGAATGGCGCTAGGCTTACCGCACCGTGACGTCACTGCTGGAAGATGGCAGGAGGGAGGGGTTACTGTATTTGGGCAAAAATGGCCGCTCCTAGTGATCGCAACGAAAATTATAATTTTTATTTCTTTACTGATTTATGCTAAATTCCTTAAATCACGGTGAACGTATTAGTTTTAGTTATAAATAATGATCCATTAGTTATTCCTTGCTGACCCGACTTTTCCTTTTAAACAACGAGGTGAGAATCCAGAAAGACAGCCAGGTATTCAAACTAAAACAGGAAAGTTACTACTGACTTGATGGCGAATGACTGTTTTGTTTTAGTTCAGAGACACTTCCACCCTCTCTCTATCCAGCGGCTTTTCTGGAGTTTTTGTACATTTATATATAATGGCATCATCTGCATACATCAGACATTCGGCAGCTATACAGATATTCTGTAAATCATTGATATATGAACAGAAAAGAAGTGGCCCTAAAATGGATCCCTGTGGAACACCCATTTTGAAACTAGATTTCATTCCATTAACTTGATGCACTGCTTTCCATTTTCTAAATATGTGCTGAACCATCTGAGATCTGTCTGGGAGAAATTACTATATTTTTGCAATTTATGTAAGAAAATGACTGACTGTGTCGAACTGCTCCAGCTACCTTGCCATGATCAAAAGATCATTAATTATTATCGATTAAGCACGAGGTAGCCATGTTTTCTTTGTGTAGATTTAGACGTGTGTAAAATTTGCTACCACTGTGTCATTTTTAGTTATGTAATAATCGGTACCGGTGTTCTGTCAGACGCACATACCCGGTCAGACCAGCGTACCCACAGTCAATACCCGTTTAACCCTTTTGTTTTGTAAGAAAAATTAACTTTAACCTACCTCAATGGGCATGTATCCCTTTAGTCATGTACAAAAAATTTATTAAATTACCTCTTGGTGTTTTTTGAAGTGTATGGCGACCTGACCTTAAATTGTTTTTTTTGTGTTTGATTACAGGGACAAGCCCGTCAAGGTAGTTTAAAGATTATTTTTAGTACAAAACTAAAGGGATAAACGAAAATCTGACATCTTGCGCATGCGTATTGACTATAGATATGCCGGTCTGACGGGGTATGCTGATCTGACAGAACACCGGCCTTAAAGGAATAGTACACCCAAAACATGATTAGCCTTCATTTTCTACTCACCCCCATGCTGAACAACACTCTGGAGTACTTTTTTGATATCTCAAATGCATCTGGAGATCTGGGAGGCTTCTTGCTGTCTGCTGACATTCAAATAATGGAGGTCTATGGCGCCCGAGGCAGAAAGGTCCATAAAAGTCCACAAAAAACGTGTCAATATTCCTCCATACTGCTCGTCCAATGTATTCCAAGTGTCCTGAGTGAGTAGTGTCCATAATTTACTCGGAACGAAGTCATTTAGAATGTTTTTAGAGCATAAACAGTAGTGTATAGGATTTCCTAAAAGCGCGTTCACGAGTCTACGGAAACCGCGGCAGACCAAACCAGACGAAAGTGCGCATTCAGCGTCTGCTCTGCCGATAATGCAAGCGTAGAAGAAGAAATGTGCTGTTTACCTGTGCAAAGAAAGAAACAACGAAAGAAAAATGTTTGAGGACTTCAGTGTTGAGGAAGAGCATGAGTTCTTTGCCGAGCTGAATGCGCACTTTCATCTGGTTTGGTCTGCTACGGTTTCCGTAGACTCGTGAACGCGCTTTTAGGAAATCCTATACACTACTGTTTATGCTCTAAAAACAGTCTAAATGATTTCGTTTCGAGTAAATTATGGAAGCTACCCACTCAGGACACTTGGAATACATTGGACGAGCAGTATGGAGGAATATTGACACGTTTTTTGTGGACTTTTATGGACCTTTCTGCCTCGGGCACCATAGACCTCCATTATTTGAATGTCAGCAGACAGCAAGAAGCCTCCCAGATCTCCAGATGCATTTGAGATATCAAAAAAGTACTCCAGAATGTTGTTCAGCATGGGGGTGAGTAGAAAATGAAGGCTGATCATGTTTTGGGTGTACTATTCCTTTAAAAACGCAGCATCGTTAGATCTATAGTCTGAATTTGTAAATGTTAAAAAAATGTTTGTATTTGTTTCTTACAAATTCACAAGAATTAATCATAAATTAGCAAGTAGAAATGGTGAATCTATCCTCTTTTCACTGAAAATAGCTTTTTAACTCGTGTTTTTTTAAAATGGGACGACCCGCTAACAATCAGCATTTGGCTCCCTTCACACTGGGTCTGACACCTCGCTTGCAGATGTGTGGCCTCTATCTCCTCGCGGCTGTGTGTCTGATGACACCATCATGCTGGGTAGAGTTGATGATTTATCCAGTGTGACAGAAATCAGGAAAGTAAACAATGGAGAGCAACATGGAAAGAAGCCAGAGCGTAGTTAGGGCAGTTTATTATTTGCCTTTATTATCTTTCTGAATCCCTCTCACCAGAGCTGCTCCATCTTATTGAAGGCAAATTTATCGTTTGACCCGGATAGACACGCATCAGTGAGCTGTTCCCACTGCCACTAAAAGCAGATTGTTGTTAAACGGGTTTAATCGGCCAGTATGAAAGGGGTATGAGTCCAAATCGGCAGCCCCTGATGAAGCCTTAATACTCCAAAAAGTCGTTCACCAAGCAACTAAAAACGAGCAAGAAGAGGAAGGAGACAAAAAACAAAACATTTTGATTGAAATACTGTTTTCAGAGCATGCGTAGTATTAAGTTCAACGTTGGTTCCGTTTTCCTCTTCATGTAATGTAAGGGCGGTTGTAGAACAACTTTCAGGCACATTAACCCCACCAACTGGTAAGGAGTGGAACAGCTCCTTCAGGGTGATTACTACAATTATAGTTGTTAAGTTTTAACTTGTTCTGGTTACTTCTAAACTTTAAACATTGACACCTATGCATACATTTCTATTGACTGTTACCTGACTCCACACTAACCCTGAGCCGGCTGAAGGAGTGTATCCGATTCAGTCCTTTAAGGCGAGCAGAGACACGCTAAGTTAGACCCAAACGTCAGCTGATTATAGCTCTTTGATGGTGCTGTAATAAGCCTGCAGCCAGCGAGGCCAGAAAGGTGCAGCAGCTCCTGATACACCTCCAGAACAAGACCTGGATTCATCGTCGTCTCTGTACCCGACAGGGAGGGTGGAACCCACAGCTGGACCCAACTTTAGCTGTAAAGTCTTTCACTAACTACAGTCTTTTTTTTTTTCCAATGACGTATTTTAGCCACATAAACTTCTCCTGCACACAGGGTTAGTCACACCAGCTAATTGACAGTCTCCTCACAGCGGCTCCAAACTCAGCAGCCTAAGCTGTAAAAGTGCAGTGGTGAGAGAAAACCTGCCAACCTGCGCTCCGATTGGCTGCCCAGAGAACACAGCGGGTCTCCCATCAGACCAGGACCTACGAGGAGGAGCAGATTCACACGTCAACATGCAGAGCAAGGCAATTCAGCTTATTTCAGTTTTCATAGACAGATTAGCTACAGTGAAAAGTTGTTGGGATGCAAAAAAAAACTAAAGTACTAACAGTCAACAGGAAATAGCATCATGTAAAAATAAAAACACCTCAAACATTCCTGTAGAAGCATAAAGATCAGGTAAAATGTCAGAAATCCTCCAGTTCTTCTACTGCAAACTGTTGATCAAATTAAAGGCCCCATAAACTTAAAGTGGAAAAACGCGACAAACCAGAAGCTCTAATGTTTGACTGAAGACATTGTCCACATCCAAAGCATAAAACGTTCTTCCATCTTTCAGTCCCATGTTGGGATCCTTATTAAAACAGATTTTGGGCCTTTAAGGGTTAAACCCATATTAAGCATGTTAGTGATTTATATCTTAAACTCTATATGAACTAGAGCCAGTTAATTAATATTTATTTGTGTTTGTTTAGAACCGTGCACCAGCTACCCTTTATTGCTATGCATGCCAGTGACGTTGCCACATGATCTAAAACATTGTGGTTGCCCAGACAACAATTATAACGTCATGTAGCGTCTGTTTGCAGAGTCAGGAGCATCTGTAGTGTTTGTCTAATGATCAATGAAGACCTGATTGATAACAAAACTGAAAGAAATCTGTTTCTGGTGAACACAGTAACAGTTAGACCCTGATATAAAGGGCAGAGCTGGGTAGCCACGTGGCTAGCTGTGCTCAGCAACTAACAGGTTAGCCTCTTTTAGCTCAGTCAGTTAGCCTTATTAGGCTACACTACTTTTAAATTTGTGTCAACAACAGCCGTTTGTTTTCTACAAGTAGAATAACTGTTTGTGTAAAATCTCTACCAATGTCATTTTTTAAGACATCCCATTTGTCCTCCTCTGCCCTCAGATCTTAATTAAAAGAATAAAAATAAGCTGGAACTTTTTTTGTCATCTTTTTAAATGGTAGAGCTTATTTTTAGAGGGCAGTACTTTCCTTCAAGTCTGACAGTGATTGTTTTTTACCTTCGGCTGCTTTAGATCTTTAATGAAATATAAAATAATAGCAAATATAGGAAATAATACGATGAGACTCCAGAAGAGATGTGATCTTTAAGGGTGCAATACACGAGTGAGGGAAGAATGGAGCGGGAGATCGATGGACGGATCGGTGCGGCTGCTGCAATAATGCGGACGCTGCACCGGTCTGTCGTGGTGAGGAGAGAGCTGAGCGAAAGGCCAAAGCTCTCGATTTACCGGTCGGTCTACGTTCCTACCCTCACCTATGGTCATGAAATCTGGATCATGACCGAAAGAACGAGATCCCGGATACAAGCGGCTGAAATTAGCTTTCTCCGCAGGGTGGCTGGGCTCTCCCTCAGAGAGAGGGTGAGGAGCTCGGTCATTCAGGAGAGGCTCAGTGTAGAGCCGGTTCTCCTCCACATTGAGAGGAGTCAGTTGAGGCCCAGGGGACGACCCAGGACATTCTGGAGAGACTATGTCTCTCGGCTGGCCTGGGAGTGCCTAGGGCTTCCCCCAACAGAAAAGGAGGAGGTATCAGTGGAGAGGGAAGTCTGGGAGTCTCTGCTTAGTCTGCTGCCGCCGCGACCCGGTTCCGGATAAAGCGGGAGACGACGAGTACGAGTACGAGTGCAATACAGTTTGGCGAGTGGAGTTGCCGTATGATGGCGTCATGGGTGGGGCCCCGAGCAGATCTGACCACCTGAGCAGATCTGGTACGTAGGGGTCTGAGCGGCTAACCTGACAACAGCCAGATGCATGTCTCGCTCCGCCTAGCTCCACTCACATACATCTGGGAACCCGCCATAGGAATTGCCTTTACTGAAGGCTGGGCCTTATCAAAACTCCTTGCATATGATTGGATAAGCCACTTGTCTGTCATCTTTATCGACGTGCTATTTCAACCACTCACACCGAAGCTAACCCGTGACGCTGTGAGAGCTACGCAGGAAAAAAACAAAACAGAACAGCCGACATCTTGGATATAGCAACAGTGGAATCAGCGCAATGTCGGTAAATGATCAATGTCGTTGGTGCCATGAAAATGTGCGGATAAAAGGCAACATTGTGCACAGCAGACCTATTTTAAAAAAAGAAGCCAACCAAAAAAGTATAGACGAACGACTTACAGAACTCGCTTCTCCACTACGTCACATGCAGGAAACACCCACCCTGCGTCCTGATTGGCCAGACCATAAATTCGGTTGGGGAAATCACTTTCAATGAGCGATGTCCCAGATGTATGTGAGTGGAGCTAGGCGGAGCGAGACATGCATCTGGCTGTTGTCAGGTTAATGAGTGGCTCCCACAGAGAAATAATCTTTGAAGGCAGGATGGTAATCTGGATGAACTGACTGCACAGACCATGCTTTCAGGAGGACTTTCTCACTTCAACATAGATTCTAACTACTTTTCACCCGCTGATCACAGCTAATATAGCAAAGTCGCTCTCTGGCATCAAACACGTGAGCAGCAGAAGCATCACACACATCTGGACACAATTTACTGGACGTCTGGCTTCAGTGTGGACAAGCATCAGAAATGAAGCAGCTGAAGCTTCTTTGATGCTCAAAGAGCGTACGGTGTGAACTCAGAGTAAAATGTACCAGCAGGAAGGCACAGAGTTGGCGTGAGCTCATTTTCATATAGTTTGTATTTGATAAATCTCAACATTTTTGTCTACTGCCCACTGTCTACTATCTGGAAATCAGATTAAATGTCCACTCAATCACCACATTTATGTTCTTTAGAGAAATTGAGGATTTTTCATGAAAGCAGATCAATTCAATGTGACCAACAGCAGTTCTGATCTGTGCAGATTCTCCATCATGACGTCTTTAACTGGATTTCAGCTCCGTTTTTCACAATAAGTTTCAACAGCTTTCCTGTATTTATCAATTCTGGAGATTCACAGGGTTGATGTCAAACTGAGTGGAAGTCCGGTTGCCTGCTGAAATGCTGCCTTTGATCAATTTCAATCTTTTTTTTTTCTTTGCACCAAAAACCTGGATCAAAAAGAAAATCCCCTAATAAAACCTTACCTGAAAGGTTTCTGTCCAACAGTCCTGCAGCTCTGAGGTCCATGTGGCGACTGTACAGGCTTGATCTGGCAACCAGAGCCTTTGGGCTACCGGACAACAAAAACCAATGACACGAACCGAACAGAGAGGATGACAAAAAGAAAACACAATTCAAAGGAAAATAAGCTGAGGGATGAAAAGAACAGTAAAAAAATTAAAATATTGATGGAAATGATATAAAAAATGTATAGCGGTACCTTTCCTCTAACAGATTTTCCCTTAAAATCATGACTTTATTCAGGGTTTGGTTATTCTAAGAACTTAGATCCTTGGTTTGGTCTAAACAAGGTTAATTATCGTGCTCTGTGGGTTGATCAGAACCAAAACACGTTCATCTAAGCAGGGCTCCATAGCTACGTAGTTCCAGTTCTCCCTGCAGCAGCATTTAATGATTAACGTTATTAAAAGATGAAAATCTGTTCCAGCTGCAGAGGATTTCTGTTGAGGTAAAAAGATTGTTGCTCCTCAGATTCAGAAGCCGTGTGGCTCTGACTTCAGCCGAGGGAACAAAGGAGCAGATCTTTACCTTTTACAGATCCTGAGGAACTCAAAGTAGTTTGGTGTCGAAGGTTGTTTTTTTTCCTTCAGAGCTGCAGAGAGTTTATGAGTTTACCTCCTAAGGAACGCTACAGGATCAAAGGGAGGCCCCAATCCAAAGGACTGATTGTAGATTTTACTCTCTGACACTAACCCTGTTTGTGAGATCTTTGCAGAACATTGCTGAGGTTTAAATTTCGTCTTACAGCCTAGAATGTTTCGGTTTCTTTTGGGTCATAAAATCTGAGCAGAACCGTTTAAAAACGTAGAAGTTTGTTCAGGAACCACTGAGCCTCTCTGACCGGGAGAAGCAGAGGCTTCTGTACGGAGTCAGAAAGGAGTCAAAATGTTTGCAAACTTCTAAATAATGATATTTAACGTCTAATTTTTACCTTATAATGTGACAAAACTAAAAAAGCAAACAGTAATAATCAGAATTGAATCTAAAATTAGATTAGTATTTTAATTACATTTTTCTTTTTTATTTATTTTCTTTATTGCAGTTTTAGATTCAAATCCCTTTCTTTCAGTTACTTAGTCATTTTTTTCTTTCAAATTCCTTTTTCAGTTTCAGGATTTATTTTTTACACTTTCAAATCATTTTTTTTTTTTCAGCGTCAGATTTTGACCCCAGTCTGACGGGGGTCTCTGCAGCATTCTGTGGAATATATTACATTAAAGACATTTACACTGGAACTGTCAATAATATAATATACAATTATATATCTTCAAATATAAAACTGGAATAAAGAAAATAAATAGAAACAAAAAAGTGTAATTAAAATAATAAATTGAGTGAGTTTTTTCAAGCTGGGGAGAAGAATTTACATTTAATTCTTATTATTTTATGTTTGCTTTTTGAGTTTCTCAGATTATAAAGTAAAATTAGAAAATTATTTTTTCTGTTTCAACTTTTATTGGTTCAGTTTCAAATAAGATTTATAAGTTTAAAAAATGTTGCCCCCTTTCTGACTCCATATTCCTGGAGAAAATGTTTGGAATGAATCAGGATCCCAGAACGACCAGGAGGAAGTTGATGGAAGAGGGAAGGATCTGGTTTTCCCCTCTCGAACTTCGCACCTCAGTGAACCGAAACGAGGATACAAACAGAGCCGCAGTCTGAGAAAAAAACAAACATTTTATTTCTTTATGGGAACAAGGCTTTAAGACAAAGTCAAGGTTTTGTGGGTTTAAAAAAAGGTAGCAACTAAAAGCAGTAACTTATCACTCTGTCCTTAGTCTAATGTACAGTAGAACCGGCAGCTTCCCTGATCGCTATCAGGAACATCGTCTCATCAAGCTACTGTTTAAAACCAATATGAGGTTCAATCAATTAAAACCCAGCTGAGATCTACCGAGGGAACTGGAGATGAAATACCGGAAAATACCAGACAAAATGAAAGAAAGGAACAAATAAGGTGAAATGTGTGATGGGAAAATAATGAGAAAAGGGGAGAAAAGAGATTTATGATTAACCAGCGGACAATCAGGACCAACAAAAAGGAACATGTGATCATCTCACCCAAGATCTGCAGAGCTAATAAATGAAAGCTGAGGGATTTTTAATGTCTTCACATCCAGATGAACAATCCTTCTCCTTTTTTTAAAGCCTTATTTTTAAAGCTTTGATTAATCTGCAGACACTTTCTCACTTCTCTCAACACGCCACTGAAGACGTGAACCATTTTACAACCGGCAGCTTTCTCTCTGATTCCTGGACTTTGTTCAGCACAATCTGAACAGCAGCTCAGCTCATTTTTACAGCTGCTAGTGGAGAAACAGCCAGGATTTAATGAGCCTACCCTCTTTATTTCATTATGTCATCATTCTGAGTCTGCTGCAATACAAAAATGATCTAGAAATGAGTAAAATTTTTTAAATTAGTGGTATTCACCCTTAATTTGAGCAAGTAAATAAGATGATTTGGCAATGGACTGAGTATTTTTACTCTTAATCTAGGATAATTAGATAATATGCACTTGAAATAAGACAATGGAATTGTTTTTTTCTTATTTTTAAATGTAAATTGTCTTGTTCCATTGGCAAAATGTCTCACTTACCTCCTCAATTCAAGACACTTATTTTAAGAAAGAATTATCTGTTTAGATGTACAGTTTTAGAGTGTGCCCATTTCCTTCTTGTAAAGGATTATGTCGACCATGTTGTTGTTGAAAGTTGCCAACAACCATTTCCTGTTGCTGACATTTCTACACCTTTTGAGAACAATTGATATCATTAGCAAGATTATCTGTCCTCCACCTTAATAAAGACGGCTGCTTTCAGACGACTGATCAACATTTAAACCAGAGAAGCACTCGGAGAGCGCAGACCTCTGTGATGACCGCATGTGCAACCACACAACAAATGGTCTGATCATTCTTTCATTTAAATAAATCTCTTATATTTTACTGTACTGTATTTTACTTTGATTTGGCATTGGTTAACTATTTGGGTGCACATATTTAGTCAACTCATTTAGTCATTTCTTGCTTGTTAGCTTTGCTGTAAATTCATATACTTCTCATTTGAGTTGCCAGTTCCTGGGCAGGCGTCATGGGGGCGTGGCCACTAAAGGAAAGGAGGCCCCAGCTGCAAATGGCAAGGAGGCCTGGTTGGACTCTTCCACTTACTTTTAGTAGAGGTGTAGGAAGGGTTTAGGTTTTTCTCTTTGGTTTTGTTTTCTGTAATTAAGTTTAATTAATGGGAAGTTCTCTTTCTCAAAGGTTGCAGATTTAGGATTAGTTTGGTGTTTTGTTGTAGTTTTGTTTAGGTAAATGTGTCCAATGTTTCCCTTGTGTCAAAATAGTCTAATCAACCAGTATATGTATATAGTTTGGGTTATGTTGATTTTTTTCTTTTGTTTTCCTTTATGGGCCCAATTTTGTTAGAAATTTGAATTCTTCTTGGTAAATAATTTTGTTACCATTTTTACCTCAATGACTTCCCTGTGCTTCTCAGATTTTTTCACCTCACAAGATCGGATATGATCAGTTATCTGTGCTGTGCCTTATGCTATGATCATGGTTTTTGGACATTGGGAACCAGTTTCCATGTTCCATCTTGGTTCCATGCACCTTTTTCCTCCTTGTTAGCACCTTCTTTAATTACTATGCCAATATGTGACCAGTGAATTTCTCCGCTGTGAGACCAATAAAGATCTAATCTAATCTAATCTGAAACGATGACCAGAGAAGAAGCCGCAGCTTTGGTGAATTAACAGCTGTGGAAGCTCTGCAACCCCCCCTTTTCAGCCAAGGCCTCCAAAAGCAGTCACAGGACCTCCCACAGAGGTGTGACTTGCCAGCCCCCTCTCTGTGAGGACGACAAACCCACAGAGGACACAGGATTGTCTCTTTTTGCCTCGTCTCCCTTGCCCATGAACCTGGGGTCCACTTGAGCAGGATCTCAAGAGAGAATGGAGATCTGGTGAGTTTACTGATGAGAAATAACCATGCTAACAGGATGGACTGCATGCTACGCTATGCTATACAGAAACATGTGTTGAGCTGTTGTAGAAGCCTGGAAAAGCTTTATTCACTAAGAGTCTAAACACTGATATAACATTAGTGTTCATGTGTTCCTCAGATGCTCATTACATTTCCATTAGCATGGATGTCTATTCGCTGCTAGCTATTTCAAAGAGGGTAAAGAATCATTTAACTAAAGGTTTTTGGTTCTTGATTAAGCAAATCATTCAATAAAACATTATTTGGCCAAATAATGTTTTATTCTCCTCATGGATTTGCATTGTGAATTGGTCTGAAAACATTCCAATTTCTTTAAAATTAGTGAAAAGCTAATTTGATCAGATCCCAAATTATTCCAGATAAACTTTGGTTTCAAACACAGAATCCATCTTAAACTGTAATATGGTTTTCAACCGTTTCCCCTAATTCTTTTTACATAGTAGTAAGTTTAGTTTAGTTTCACTAGTTTTAGTTAATAGTTTTAAACTGAAATATGTTTGACTTGGAGCCGAATGATTTTTGTTAATAAAATCTTATATTTTGAACAGAAGCTGTGGTGAATTTATTCCATGTATGTGAAGAATTAACTGTTTGACCATGATTAGTGCTCAGAATCACTCTTTCATCTATTGTTCTAACACACAGTTAGTAGGGCGTGTGTTCATAAAAATATATAACAGCTGAAATAATATCTGATTAAATAAGATATTTTCCACCCCTACAGGGGAGGGCAATAAACATCTTAAAGTATCAGAAATATAAATTCCCAGTGGGTTGGGAATAGAATTAAACATAAAATAACAACATTTGATTTCTCCAGTCATTAGATTACTGTAATGCAGAAAAGCTAGATGACTCAATATATTTATAAACTAAATTTGAATGAATTTCTCAGAGCTTAAGTTCGGAGACAAACAAGAAATTTTAGGAAATAAGTTTGCCAAAAGTGCTGCAAAAAAGCTCAAAAGGCAACAAAACCCTGACATAAAACTGATATTAAGACACATTATTAAATGGAACAGGGAGAGAGAAAAGAGTGTCAACTCACACCGCCACGAATGCTAAAAATATCTTCTTAAGAGAAATTATGAAACAGGAAGCAATGCGGCTCCTCTCTATTTAAAGAAAATGTGTTTTGGCAGAAGTAGAGGCAGGATGGAGATAAAGATAAAGCCAATATTAGGATAAAAATGAATCCTGTCATGGAGTGAAAGGAGGACGGAGAAGGTGAGATAATTCCTGTAGACACCAGTTAAAAGACAGAAAAGCTAAAGATGTGCAGAGATGCTTTACCGACGAATTTCACTGCAATGTTCCAGAAAAGATAGAAGTAAAGGAAGACAATTTAAAATCTCAGCTCAGCATTACTCCAACATTTGTTACATGATTTTAGATGCGGGCTGTTTAAGCTACCAATTGGTCTAAACTCTGTTTAGTTTTTCAGGAAGCTAAAATAAAAAAGCACTAATCCGAATCTCTGCGTATTTAAAAGTGGTTGAAAGGAACAGGAATCACGAGGTGTCATCAGAGTCGGATACGGCTGATGGGAAACTGTTTGGTCCGTTGTTTATTGAAAGAAAAACCCACTATCACAGATATAACTGGAATCTGATAAAAAAAAAATTGATTAGGGCTGGAATTAAAGGTGCTTAGAAGATTTCTTATGAAATCAAATCAGGTGATACTAAAACTTTTCCACTTCAGGAGTTTTGGCAGATTGACAGACAAAATAATTGTTTTTTATTAAAAAGGAGAAGTCCGGTCATATGCAGAATTCAAACTTCCGAAAATATTCTAAATATTAAATGATTCCATCCTGTTCAATAAATGATCAGTGTTTTTAATTCAGAGTAATTTTCATGTGAATGTGCTTTACTGGAGGCATCCATGTTTGTCAAAGAACACTACTGCCACCTACTGGTTTGTGACGTCACGGTGCGGTATCGGCTGTTGATCAAGTCCCAGTGCTGTATCTGGTGTTTGTCACAACGCGCTATTATCCAAGTCATCTTGAAAACATTCTTCTTCCAAATGTTGGCTACATTTTACGGGTTTTTTCTCTGGCCAGAAGTTCGATGGCAAATCCTCCCTCTTCAAGTTGGCGATCCAACGACCAACCCGTCCGTGGAGGATCAGGAATCAGAAAGGTGGAATAACTCTTTTTTTTCCACTTTTACCCGATGTATTCCAACATCCAGCTGCCATGCACGTGGGCATTGTCAGTTTCACTATAGCTCTGGTGAATTTCAATGGTGAAGTCCTCTGGAAATCTTCAATAATTGTTGTTGATTGCAGATGTGTCTAGTAGTTCCCATTGATTTAGCTTGGAAAGCGGGGAGAATGGCGCTAGGCTTACCGCACCGTGACGTCACTGCTGGAAGATGATCGCAATGCAAATTATTTATTTTTTTACTGATTAATGCTAAATTAATTAAATCACCGCAAACATATTAGTTTTAGTTATAGATAATGATCCATTGGTTATTCCTTGCTGACCTGACTTTTCCTTTAATATATAAATTTGTGTAGTTATTTAAGATTAGTTCCAATCGGTTTGAGCTGAATTTAGAGGCAGTTCCTGACTTTAAAGCAGATGTCAAGCTTTTTAAATAAGAATTTTCATCCTGTAGCTAAGAAAATCCATTAATGGATCTAAGTTAATAGCTCTTACTTGCTATGCCTTGTCCTGCAGGAGTCGATGAGAGGTGAATGTGGACTCTGCTCCCTGTTGTCTCCACGGAAAGATGAATGTGTGACACCAGGAGGCGCCCTGCTGGGAGACGATCCCACACTGGAGGAGCACTGGGAAGATGCTGATCGCTGAGGGGACTGAGGAGCAGCGAACGGCCAAGGAAGAGTCCTCTGCTCTTGGCGAACCACTGCCGATAAATAAACAAAAATAGATCAGGCATCAAAACGTAAAAAATGAATACAAATAATTATTAGTGGAGAACTAGAAAGAAAATTAAGTGCAGGTTCATGACTATTTCCTTCCAAAACAAAACAATTCAGACAAGCTTTTCCTCAGGTTTAAAGCTTTTAATTATTGACTGAGGTCAAATTCAACATTAACCATGAGAACCGCTGGGTTTCTGATGTTATTGCATATTTTCTGCCTTCAGGTTGTTTCATTTTAGACCTTTAAAGCAGAGAAGCTCCTGGCTGCTGCTGCTAAAAGCATTAAAAGATGCATAACTAAATATAAATTGGAAAAAGCTTAGCAAGAAAAACCACAAAACCACTGTCCAAGAAAATCCAAAACAGGAAAAGATTTCAGAAAACAAACAGCAGCGGGTCTTATGACTTAAAGGTATAGTGGAGGATGTTATTTTTCTGGGTGGATCATTAAAATAAGAGTTCCACTGCTCCCCTCCCCCGATCCGGATTTCAGGTTCACCTACTGGGCAGGGGTTAACGTTATGGATTTTTACCACTTGCCCTTCGGGTAAGTGACTTTCACATTTAATTTGCCCAGAAACAATTTTACTTGCCCAGTATAATGTTTGATAAATATAGTTCCTAATATTCATTTTGGTATATATATCAAACATGTTTGTTTTTTAAATGTTTTTTGTAATTCAGTATTTTTGAAGTTTCCAGGTTCCTGGTGTGTATCTGCATGCGTCAGATAATGAACTCCAGCCTACATTACCGTGTTAACATGCTTTTCAATCCTTCCTGCTCATTCTTTTCAAACTAAACTTTGCTTTAAACTGTTGTGTGCTTGGAAAAATATAAATAATAATGTTAAAGATCTAAAAAAAACTTGACAGGTTAAAAACAAGATAAATGGCAAGACAGAAGTCAATGTCACAAATGAATAACTTTTATTTTAGAGTCACGGTATGTTTATACAAGATAATACTATTAATATAATGTGATTTTTCTAGAGAATCATTATACATAGTAACTGACTCAGGATTAGTTTTCCCTGACAAAATAAATGCAGCCGTTTGTCGTTTTGGTAACTACATCTAAATTACCGCTAGGTGGACAAAAATCACGCGAGAATGTGTACAAAACAACAAAAATGGCGCCAGCAATGCTTGTGGGTCATTTTCATCAAATGTCGGTGATTTTAAAGTAATTTTGAGTGATAAATAATTTTTTTTTTGCAATCATTGCACTTGCCCAGCGGGCAATGCAATTTGTACTCTCCCAACAATAAAAACTACTTGCCCCAGGAGATGGTGCGATGGTTAACATCGAGCCCTGTACTGGGTCATCCGGTAATCCCGGGACTGGCCACCGGCGGTCGCCTCTGTGCTCTGTGGGGGGGGCATGTCTTTGGCTCTTCACAACCACTATTGAGCGTTTTTCCTTTGAATAAACTTTACATGGTTTACACTCCATTGGAAGAAGGCCAGGTCAAGATCCGCAATGGCAGCAAACAGGAAAAAGAACGTAGAGAAAATCTGGTTTGTCCAATAAAAGGATAAGGACCATTGATTATTCCTTGCTGACCGGACTTTTCCTTTCCTTTATAATCGATTCAGTTTTCAAGTTGTTTCTAAACTGTGATCCTTTGGTTTCCCTTTAAAAGCTTTTAATGATCATGAAACTGTTCAGTTTTCATATGAGAGAATTCAAAGACATGGGTTCATTAATGACTTGAGAAAATGAAGGTTTTTATGTGTGGTTTGATGTCTGGGCAGCTTGGTGTCGATTCGTTTCCTTACAGCTTCGCTTTACATTTCATTAAATTACTAAAGTCCCTTTTTATTACCTGCCTTATTGCTTACCTTCTCTTTCCATTAAAGAATAAGGCTTGATTTCTCCATCAGGCTTCTTAACGCGCCTCAACTGGGCCACTGTAGGGAAAATAAAGCACATTTTAACAAGGCAGTAATCATTAGTATGTTTTCCTTATATGGCAAAGTAAATGATGCTGATGCTTGGGAGGGAAAATCTACAATAAGTTATGTAACTTATCTTTTTTTACCAGTCAGGCTTTAAGGTGATATTACTGTCAAAAACCAGAAGTAGAAAGTTTCTGACACAAACACTAGGGGCGTTACATTAATATAGAAATGTTCATAGGGTCATTCATTAATCAGAACATATTACCGTAATTTTCGGACTATTATCCGCACCTGAATATAAGCCGCAGAAGCTAAATTGCATGATTTGTACATATACAAGCCGCACCGGACTATAAGCCGCAGGTTTTTTATGTTTAATGTCCATCTTTCTCGCTGTCGTTCTGTCTCGTACCATCACGGTAGAAGTCTGCTTCCGGAGGACCTCCGGATTCCCCGCGCACGTGGCTACCGTACTTGTGTGTTGAAGCTAATGTGACGTCAACATGGTGGATGGTAAAATCCATAGATTTAGGTATTACCCTAGTGGCCGTTAGCTGTAAAAAAAGTCCATAGATAAGCCGCATTGTTATATAAGCCGCAAGGTCGAAAAATGGGGAAAAAGTCGCGAATTATAGTCCGAAAATTACCGTAAATTAAAGTCAGAATTGCATCACTGACATTAACCAATGAGAATTGATCCTGAAATTGAAAGTAAGGACCTGTTCAACAATAAAAAAAATCAATATCTCATAGAGTCAGGTGTGTTTTCCATCACCTGAACCCAAAGAGAGGCGATGAAACTATCGCCACCCAATCCGTCCCAGAAGCATGATCCGTACCATCGGCTCATTTGTGCAACCAGATATGCATCTGGGTCGCCCTTGATTTTATTTTGTAAAAAAAAGATCTAAATTACATTTTCCCCTCCCCAAAAAATACTAAGTGTACTAAACTATAATGTGTCAAAGGTTGATAATGCATTTTCCTGAGAAAATAAATGCATTAAAATCTTTTCTGTTTTATCACTCGTCTGTCCCCGATCTGAGCCAGAAATGGGATCCTAAGCTACTTCCGGGTGCTAACTTTTTCAGCTCTGGATTTAAACATAAATATTTCTTTCCTTTTGTGTTAACCTTATGATATATAGCACATAATCTAAAGAAAGAAACAACTACAATACAGATAAACATGGTTTAATGATATTTTGCCGGACTGCTCTGAGCATGTCCCGTGATGACGTCAAAGAAGCTGTTTAACAGAGAAAATGGAAAAAGAATAAAATTCTCAAAAAAGTCATAAAACATTTTTTTAAATGTGTAGTAGCTTTATTTAGTGAGTTAAGGGCAGAAATAAGTAATTTTAGTGCTATAATTACATTATTTTTGGAAACCTGGATGAATATCTGGTTGCGCAGATGAGCGGATGGTACGGATCGTGCTTGCGGGACGGATTGGGTAGAAACAGAGCCGGCTAACCAAGGTTAGCCTATATGCTAACCAAGGTGAGCAGTGTCGCTACCTGATCCGCACTGGAACCTCGATCTGTACCATCCGCTCATCTGCGCAGCCAGATATTCATCCAGGTCGCCCTTGATTTCCTTAGTAAAAAAAATACCTAAATTATGTTTTTCCCTCCCTAAAAATAGAAAGTGTACTAAACTACAATGTGTGAAATGTTGATTTATTTTCTGACAAAATTAATCCTGTTTAATCAGTCGTTTGTGCCTAATCTTTTCCAGAAAAGCTACTTCTGGGAGCTAACTTTTTCGGCTTTGGATTTTAACATACAGTAGAGCATTAATATGCAGCAAGTGCTGAAAATAGTGATCTGAATAAAACATTTAATATATCTCTAATGAAGCGCATACTGTGCTGAAATGTTACATACAGTTGCTTTAACATTTAGCTATGTTAAAACAGCTCGGCTGATGCCTAAAATAAGACACACACACATAAATATATGATACTTTACATGATTTCTTTTACGAATTATTGGTTGCTTGGATCAACAGTTTCAGTTAAATATAACATAATTCCTGTTATGAAAAACACTGATGTGTGAGAAATTTAATTTAATTTTATAGGATTTACAGAAAGGTGGTCAGTGGCATAGTGGTTAGCACTGCGCCTTGCAGAAGTGGCACAGTTGGTTTAGGGTTCGATTTCCTGCCCGGTGTCTTTCTGCATGGAGTTTGCATGTTCTCCCTGAGCATGCGTGGGTTCTCTCCGGGTACTCCAAAAACATGACTGTTAGGTTAATTGGCTTCTCTAAAGTCCCCTTTTAGGTGTGAGTGTGTGAATGGTTGTCTGTCCTGTTTGTCTCTGTGTTGCCCTTCGATGGATTGGAGACCTGTCCAGGATGGACCCAGCCTCTCGCCCACTGACAGCTGGAGATGGACACCAGCACCCTCTTGGGATAAGCGTGTTAGAAAATGGATGGATGGATGGATGGATGGATGGATGGATGGATGGATGGATGGATGGATGGATGGATGGATGGATGGATGGATGGATGGATGGATGGATGGATGGATGGATTTACAGAAAGTTCACAGTAATTATTCTAATGAAATAAAGGCAGGCGCATACATTTGTGCATGGGGCGCCGGTTGCAAAGTTAAGGAGTGAAAAATTAGGAGCAATATTTATGGTTATTTAGCGTGTTTAAAGAGAATTTTTTTTTCCACTAAGTCATTCATTCATTTATGAAAATCAAAGTTCCAAACCAAATATTTATTTTCCAAACTAGATATTTGGGTGGTTAAATAAATATTTAGCTCCAAACTAAATATTCATTTAACAAACTAAGTGTTTATTCAGAAAAATAAATATTTAGCTTGCTGACAATTTTTTTCTAACTGACAATCTAAATATTTAGATGTGAATGTGAAAAAATAGTGAAAAAATTACTTGGAGAAAATAATCCCCTTATTTTTCTCTTAAAACATCATTGACAAAGTTGAAGTTCCACTGGGGCTGGGTACTTCAACAAGACAACACTGCTCCAAATCTACCAAAGGATTCAGGAAGAGGAAAAAACATTCTGGAATTGTTATCTCAATGGGCTGCTATAGGCTTAGACATCCGGAGGTCATAGGGACCCCTTTTCATCATTCTGCTTTATTCTATCTCTATTCTCCCACTCTGCAGAATCTGTTAGTTCAATCTCTAACGTTCTGCTCTCTCTGCTTTTTCTCATAGTAGCTTCATCTGGTCTGTTCCTGTTTGACTCCATCCTGGAGAGAAATATCAGCTGTGCTGCTGCCATCAACACCTCTGTTTCTAGATGTTGGAGATTGGCCTGTTTTCCAGTGTAGTCCTGTTTCTCTGACTGTGACTAACTGGATGTGCTCTCTTCATCCTCTGACATGGGAGCTGGCTCGGAGCTCGTCTGCCTGGCTGTGTGTTTCCTGGACGGGGCCGCCTGTGGAGCTGGTTGACAGTTGCCTTTTGTATCTATGCTTCTTTTTCTATGTCTGCTTCTGTCTCCTTGAACCCCAGTGGGCCTCAGCAGATGGCCGCTCACACTGAGCCTGGTTCTGCTGGAGGTTTCTTCCTGTTCAAAGGGAGTTTTTCCTCTCCACTGTCGCTACAAGCATGCTTAGTGTGAGGGATTGCTGAAGAGTCAATGAGTCGATGCAATCAGCTGGTTTTCCTTAGATAGAAAACTTTGAATCAATTTGACTGGATGATCTGGTTGAATTGTTTCTGTAAAGTGCCTTGAGATGACATGTGTTGTGAATTGGCGCAATCGAAAATAAGTTAAATTAACTTAAACTTAGATTAAATTGAATAATGCTGAACATTTGTGGTGTGATTTAAAGGATGCTGCCTACGCTCATGAACCATCAAAACAGAGTGAGCTCCAAAATACCTTCAACCAGAAACTCATTGGAAGTTTACAGGAAGAGTTTATTTGTGCAGGAGGAGGATCCACTAAACATTGATGTAATTTTCCTGTTCAGCACCTAAATTTATCCACCTGCCTGGTTTTGTTTGAACCAAATATTGTAAACTTCCTGTAAATCATTTAAACTTCATGTCACTTCTTTAAACTCACTGCATTCATCTGCTTTATGATAGATTTACTCAAACTGTTCATCCAAACAAACCACAAGGAAAATCATGAAAATGATCAGGGCTGCCCAAACCTTTTAAAAACACTGTACAAGAAATCCTCCTCATGTACAATATAATTCATGATATATATGATATAACCCTCTCTTGCTCTCTACAGGCAGACAGTTGTTATGAGAAAAGCAAACAGCCCCAGGCAGTAACAAGTTCCCGTTTAAATGGAACTTCATTGTAGCACAGAGGGAGGAGTTAGAGAAACAAAAATATAAAAACTGGTCTAAAAATTACCTGATCTTCTGTGGAAGAAGCCCTCGAACGCAACAAAATTATTGACCTGATGAAAAAAAAAGATGAAGTCAAAACAAGGAAAATGTTTCCTCAGAACTGTTAAAATAAACCAGGTTTCCTGCAGCAGACAGAAAATAGGTTAATTCATGGAAAAAAGGGTCAAATTAAAGTTAAGATTTAACTGAGGTTCCAGTCAATCCAGGTCTAAAAACCTAACAAGACAAACTCGTTAGTTCAGCTTTAACTGCAAGTTCCAGGAATATAAACATCTACTTAACAGGTTTTCTAGGGATCAGATGTTAGATGATGCGTCTGTTATTTGTTGGCATAACGAATGGAAGTGATACAACACCACATCCAGGAAACAACCGCAGTTTCTATACATACATATATATATATACATACATATACATATATATATATACGTATATATACATGTATATATACATATACATATATATATATGTATATATACATATATATATATACGTATATATACATGTATATATACATATACATATATGTATATATACATATATATATATACGTATATATACATGTATATATACATATATATATATATGTATATATACATATATATATATACGTATATATATATCACTTCCACCATAATGAACTTTTTGAAGAGTTTCAGTCTGGCTTTAGAGCTCATCATAGCACTGAAACAGCTCTGGTGAAAGTCACTAATGATATTCTCATGGCCTCAGATAATGGACTTGTATCTGTGCTCGTCCTGTTGGATCTTAGTGCTGCATTTGATACAGTTGACCATAATATTCTTTTAGAAAGACTTGAATATTTTGTTGGAATTAAAGGAACAGCACTAGACTGGTTTAAATCTTATCTATCTGATCGAATTCAGTTTGTTCATGTTAATGATAGATCTTCAACACGCTCAAAGGTTACCTGTGGAGTACCACAGGGATCAGTGCTAGGACCAATTCTCTTTACTTTATACATGCTCCCAATTGGTAGAATTATTAGACAGCATGGGATTAATTTCCACTGTTATGCTGATGATACCCAGCTATATCTGTCTATAAATCCAGATGAAGCTAACCCATTACATAGATTACAGGCATGTCTTGAAGACATAAAAACCTGGATGACTCTTAACTTTCTGCTTCTGAATGCAGACAAAACAGAAGTTATAGTCTTTGGACCAGAGTCTCTGAAAAAGAAACTGATTAGCCAGTCACTTCATTTGGATGGGATTAAACTGATTTCAGATAATAAAGTAAAAAATCTTGGTGTTATTTTTGATCAGGACCTGTCATTTAAATCCCACATCAAAGAGGTTTCTAGAATTTCCTTCTTTCATCTGAGGAACATTGCAAAAATTAGAAATATCCTGTCCAGGGGTGATGCTGAGAAACTAGTCCATGCATTTGTTACTTCAAGGCTGGACTATTGTAATTCTTTACTATCAGGAAGTCCACAAACTGTAGTTAAAAGCCTTCAGCTGATCCAAAATGCTGCAGCCAGAGTTCTAATGAAAATTAAAAAGAGAGATCATATCTCGCCTGTCCTGGCTTCTCTTCATTGGCTTCCTGTTAAATCAAGAATAGAATTTAAAATCCTCCTTCTCACATATAAAGCCTTAAATGGCCAAGCTCCATCTTATATCAGAGATCTGATTGTTCCTTATGTTCCTAACAGAGCACTTCGCTCTCAATCTGCAGGTTTACTAGTGGTTCCTAGAATTTCTAAAAGTAGAATGGGAGGCAGATCTTTTAGTTATCAGGCTCCTCTCCTGTGGAACCAACTACCAGTTTTAGTCCGTGAGGCAGACACCCTGTCTACTTTTAAGGCTAGGCTTAAAACTTTCCTTTTTGATAAAGCTTATAGTTAGAGTGGCTCAGGTTATCCTGAGCTATCTCTATAGTTATGCTGCTATAGGCTTAGACTTTTGGAGGACATAGGGACCCCCATTTCATCATTCTGCTTCATTCTCTCTCTGTTCTCCTATTCTGCAGAATCTGTTAGTTCAATCTCTAACCTTCTGCTCTCTCTGCTTTTCCTCAGAGTAGCTTTGCCTCGTCTGTTCCTGTTTGGCTGTGACGTCATCCTGGAAAGAAACATCAGCTGTGCTGCTTCTATCAACACCCTTGTTTATAGATGTTGGAGATCGGCCTGTTTTCGGCCTGTTTTCCAGTGTGGTCCTGTTTCTCTCAGGGAGAGAAACAGGACCATATATATACATGTGTATGTATATATATGTGTACGTATATATACATATATATATATGTATATATACATATATATATACGTATATATACATGTATATATACATATATATATATATATATATGTATATATACATATATATATATACGTATATATACATGTATATATACATATATATATATATATATATATGTATATATACATATATATATATACGTATATATACATGTATATATACATATATATATATATATACATGTATATATACGTATATATATATATGTATATATACGTATATATATATGTATATATATGTATATATATATATGTATATGTATATATATATATGTATATATACGTATATATATATGTATATATACATGTATATATACGTATATATATATATGTATATGTATATATACATACATATATATGTGTATGTATATATACATATATATATATGTGTATGTATATATATATATATACGTATATATACATATATATATATACGTATATATACATATATATATATACGTATATATACATGTATATATACATATATATATATACGTATATATATATGTATATATACATATATATATATATATGTATATATACGTATATATACATGTATATATACATATATATATATATATATATATGTATATATACATATATATATATATATGTATATATACATATATATATATGTATATACATGTATATATACATATATATACATATATATATGTATATATACATATACATATATATATGTATATATACATATACATATGTATATATACATATACATATATATACATATATGTATGTATATATACATATACATATATATACATATATGTATGTATATATACATATACATATATATACATATATGTATGTATATATGCATATACATATATATATATGTATATATACATATACATATATACATATATATATATATACATATATATATGTATATGTATATATACATATATATATGTATGTATATATACATATACATATATATATGTATATATACATATACATATGTATATATACATATACATATATATACATATATGTATGTATATATACATATACATATATATACATATATGTATGTATATATATATATGTATATATGTATATATACATATACATATATACATATATATATATGCATACATATATATATATATATATGTATACATATACATATATATACATATATATATGTATATATACATATACATATATATACACACATATATATATATATATATATATAATGAGTTATACTAAAATACTCTACTATCTCATTTTATCAGCTTTTAATTTTATCTGAATCGCTGATTTTTTTTTTTTTATTAAAGCTGATATATAAACAAGGATGTCAAATTCACATCTAAAATGTTTTATTTAAATAAATGTTTCAAAAATAACTGAAACAGCATGTTTGCCTCATCGGTATTTCATATCCATGCAGGCTGCCTGTGTGACCATTAAAAGAATAGTACACCCAAAACATGATTAGCCTTCATTTTCTACTCACCCCCATGCTGAACAACACTCTGGAGTACTTTTTTGATATCTCAAATGCATCTGGAGATCTGGGAGGCTTCTTGCTGTCTGCTGACATTCAAATAATGGAGGTCTATGGCGCCCTGTTTTTAGAGCATAAACAGTAGTGTATAGGATATCCTGAAAGCGCGCACATGCGCGTTCACGACGCTACGGAAGCCGGCAGACCAAACCAGATGAAAGTGCGCATTCAGCGTCTGCTCTGCCGATAATGCAAGCGTAGAAGAAGAAATGTGCTGTTTACCTGTGCAAAGAAAGAAACAACGAAAGAAAAATGTCTGAGGACTTCAGTGTTGAGGAAGAGCATGAGTTCTTTGCCGAGCTGAATGCGCACTTTCATCTGGTTTGGTCTGCCGCGGTTTCCGTAGACTCGTGAACGCGCTTTTAGGAAATCCTATACACTACTGTTTATGCTGTAAAAACATTCTAAATGACTTTGTTTCGAGTAAATTATGGACGCTACCCACTCAGGACACTTGGAATACATTGGACGAGCAGTAGGAGGAATATTGACACGTTTTTTGTGGACTTTTATGGACCTTTCTGCCTCGGGCGCCATAGACCTCCATTATTTGAATGTCAGCAGACAGCAAGAAGCCTCCCAGATCTCCAGATGCATTTGAGATATCAAAAAAGTACTCCAGAGTGTTGTTCAGCATGGGGGTGAGTAGAAAATGAAGGCTAATCATGTTTTGGGTGTACTATTCCTTTAATACCAATAAAATGCTTCTGATTAAGTTATTTTAATTTCAATAGCGGCCACATTAAGGCTACGTTCACAATGCAGGCCTTAACGCTCAATTACGTTTTTTTAGTGAAATCCAATTTTTTTGGCGTTGCTGTTCAAATGTCCATATCTATGCAACTTGTATGTGATCTCCTGTGTGAACTGCATTCATACAACCTAAGTGTCCTGCATGCGCAGTAGAGGACGCAATGCCGTCACAAGCGAGCGTGGTCTGTTAACATGGATGGTAGCGCTGGAGCGCATCTAGGGATCTTTCCCAAACTTAAAACTCTTTTTCAAGATGGTTAAGAAAGAAAAAAGACTGCTGTCTGCATCATCATTTGCCTCGGTTGTTGTTTTTGTTCCTGTTTCTGTGTAGCAAGATGCAGAATAGTGATCTTCGTTGAGTATTAACGGCGTACAGGTCGGATGAATGCGACCTGGTTGTTCAGACATTTGAAAAGATGAGATTTGTTTGGGCCTGGGTCGCTTGGAAACAATCAGATCTGTGTTGTTTAGACTGTCATTAAAAGATCATATCCAGGTCGTATATGGGCAAAAGAAAAAATGGATTTGGGTCACTTCGGCTGCTGCGTGAACGTAGGATTAGTTGTCAATCAACTGTTCAAAGAGACTAAAGTAAATATTGACCTGCTAAGTGATAGGTGTAATCCATGCGGATGGACTCAGGAATAAGAAATAATTAACTTGCAATCCATAATTGTTTCTCACTAGTCTGTGGGCCAGTGTTTACGTATTTAATAACCTTTTCTCTCTGAGATGAAATAGCAGAAATTAGATGACATTAAGTAAATACTAAAAAGGAATTTTTGGGTAAACTACATAGAGCATAAAACCTTATTATTTTGCACATGCTCAATATTTTCCAAGACCTAAACCTGAAATAATATGAAATTTAAACTATAAAGAAAACTCAATTAAGCAAGTAGATAAATACAAAACTTCATGTAATATACGTTTATAGAAAGTGCAGAAAATGTATTTAGTGAATGTTTCTAATCAGCAGGCATACATAAATTCAGTAAATAGCAACATATCCTGCACTATGCAGCAGCGGGACCCAGATGGGAAGCTGTTTTCCATCCTGCTCACTCGCAGACAGATCTGACACCTCACCTGAGGGACGCTCCGCACCAGGCCGTAATGCTTAGCCAAGAACGCCAGCAGTTTGTTGGAGGGTCTGTCGTAGGCCAGCAGCTCCGGCTCCACATTCTGATGCTACAGCAGAAGACACAAAGAGGCCAGAGGCGATAGTTAGACATCAGAGCAGTGGATCTTGGTGCCCCCACCCCCAGCCAAACCTTTTTGACACGTGAACAAAGACAAGTCAATAGAAATAAATCATATTACAATAAACTAAACTCAAATCTAAACTATTCTTAACATCTAAATTGGTCACTTATTGCAGCTTCTGCTTGTTTATAAGAGTCAATGTCACTAGTGAATTGTGAGATCACAGTTCTATTCATTCGTTCACGCCTACTGTAATTACACACATCACCACTAGGGGCTGTCATTATCAACTAAAGGCCTGAACACTCTGAATGTGTACGAATTTTTAATGTCTGATCCGATGTTTTCCTTGTGTCACACTGACTGCGTATAGAGAGGCTCTGGCTAGACAGGGTGAGCAGATCTGCTCAGATGTTTTTCTCTTTTCTCTCTGTGCAAATATTCACAAATAAAAAATAATAATAATAAGCTGGACATGCTGGTGGAGAGTGTCAGTCTTCCAGGTCATAGTCATTCAAAAAAAGAACATTGAAAAAGCTTCCTAGACGGGAAGAGAAACATCTTCAAACTTGGAAACAAAGTCCAGTAAATTGCACTCTATATACTGTATATATCCCATGCATCTTCTTCTTCTCCTTTTGGCAATTTGAGTAGAGTAGATTTCTCCACTGTAAGATTAATAAAGTCAGTCAATCAAAACAATTTCCAGCATTTGGCTTGAACAGTTTATGAAAAGTTATTTTTTTTTTAAAGAAAAAAACACAGCTGCATTCTATAAAGCAAAGCCTCACTTAAGGAGTCTGTGGAGCATTTCAAAACGGGACAGATAGAGAATGTTCATATATTAAACACATAACGAGATCTATGTCTAAAGAAAAGAAAAACACAACAATAAAGTCTGTGGGACGGTTTCTATGGTGATTCTCAGAGAGATCTGGGAAGTTTCTCCAAGTTTTTCCTTTCTTTTTTCTTTCATTAAGAGGTGAGAGAGACCTGCTCTGTCTGCTCCTCCTTATTCTGGTTTCTGTGAGGCTCAAAGAGGATCAATACTTTATCCGTTTCTGTCCTCCTGAACTCCTATCATGGGGAAAGTTTTCTATTTTAATGTTTCATTCATTGTTTTTGCTCCAGTCTGTCCTGATTACTATAAACGCTACATGTGACTCCAAACCGACTCTTTTTTCCCCCAAAGCGGATGTGTTTTACTTTGTCTCTCTTCCTGTCAGACCCATGAATTTGCTGCTGAATTGCTGCTTAGTCTGACTAAAATCGACCTGGGCTCTATCTCAGTCGGAGCTACGCTGCCCCCTACAGGAAATCGTGTCGGGTGTGATCATCCCCACAATCAAAACTCCAGTCAACATTTTATCAGCAGACTTTCCTTTTTAAACATGGAAAAGTTTAACCTGCAGCATGTAATTGAACAGCTCCAGCCCATAGCCATGTCTCTGTAGCGTTTCTGCAACGTAGAAATCCAAAACACACAGCGGCTCTGCTTCAACGTGCACACCATTTCGATCCTGAAAGAAAATGCATTTAAGCCCATATGGAGGACTGCGATTCGAAAGAGCAAAATGACTAACAGGACTTAAAACAGCCCCAGACTCACCAGCAGAAACAGCTTCTTGTAGCCGACCTTCAGAAATCCAACAACCAGACCACGCCCTCTGTGTGTAGAGAACAGGAGAGAGCTGCTATCAGCGCAGAGCAACAGGCTAGGAGGGGCCTGGTTCCAGCTGTCCACAGAACCACACTTTACTTAATAGGAGAATATCAAAATAAATAATGTGAGGAAAAATAAACATGAGCCTCCTTTACATTTCCAGATTAAAGAGAATAATTGCATAATAAGATTTAAAGGAAAAGTCCGGTCGTATGCAGAATTCTAAAATCTAAAAGTACTTTAAGTACGAAATTATTCCATCCTGTTCAATAAATGATCAGTGTTTTTAATTCAGAGTAATTTTCATGTGAATGTGCTTTACTGGAGGCATCCATGTTTGTCAAAGAACACTACTGCCACCTACTGGTTAATGACGTCACGGTGCAGTATCGGCTGTTGATCAAGTCCCAGTGCTGTATCTGGTGTTTGTCACAACGCGCTATTATCCAAGTCATCTTGAAAACATTCTTCAACATCTCGTTACAGGTGATGAAGCAGACTGAAAATGTTTGTCATTGTCTCCTTTCTATCTCCTCTTTCTTTCATCTTTTCTTTATTTTTCTTCTTCTGTTTTTCTGCTCTACTTACATTGCAGTGTCCATATAAACTGTAAAACTCCCTGCATAATTATAATAAAGCAATTTATATGCATGAAACAAGTGGAGCAATATGGCAATTGCCATACTGCTAAGAAACGCTGAATGTTATCAGCATTCTGATGGCATTTTAGCCAAAGGATTTTATCAACAACATAATTAATATGCATAAATAAGGAATAGCTGTATTAACCATACATGCAAACAGAGCTTTATGGGGCCCCCAGGAACTTGGGGCCTTGTATTGCCTAATGGTACTGGCACTTTGGAAAAGGCGTTGGGAGGAATCGGGGATTTACCGGTTGCTCTCTCCGTCCTTCATCAGGTACAGCTGGTGCTTCTGGGACTGCAGTTTGGAGGCACTGGTTATAGGTGCTGGGAGCTGCTGCGCCTGTGGAGGAGAGAAGAACCGACGTCATTAGGTCAAACAGAAGGAATCAGTTTGATTCCAACAACTGGGCATAATTTACCCACTGATTCTGACAATGACTGAAACAGAAAGTTAAACCGACCTTTGCTCAAAGCCAACCTGTTCTATCACAGAGGATTCAAACACAGACGTGGAGCACAGAACATTTTACACTGTTTATTATTGAATCGCAGCAGAACATAATGGTGAGAAGATCAAAGGCAAAAACATCACCATCCCAGATGTTACTGGAGGCTCTGAAAAACTCAAGAGGATTTTCTCCAAACACTAAATCTCAGAACATGTCAAACCAAACAGACCCTTAAACAGAGACTAGTTCGTCCTAAAGACGTGGTGTCTGCAGTTCAATGCAGTGAGGAATGATCTGATCTTTATATTGGAGAAACCAAACAACCTCTCCACAGACGCATGGCCTAACGCAGAAGAGCGCCCTCCTCTGGACAAGACTATGCAGTACATCTGCACCTTACGGACAAAGAAGACAGGTGGTTTGAGAGGGGCGTGAAGGGAGCACCTATGTTAAAGGAATAGTACACCCAAAACATGATTAGCCTTCATTTTCTACTCACCCCCATGCTGAACAACACTCTGGAGTACTTTTTTGATATCTCAAATGCATCTGGAGATCTGGGAGGCTTCTTGCTGTCTGCTGACATTCAAATAATGGAGGTCTATGGCGCCCGAGGCAGAAAGGTCCATAAAAGTCCACAAAAAACGTGTCAATATTCCTCCATACTGCTCGTCCAATGTATTCCAAGTGTCCTGAGTGGGTAGCATCCAGAATTTACTCGAAACGAAGTCATTTAGAATGTTTTTAGAGCATAAACAGCGCGTTCACGAGTCTACGGAAGCCGGCAGACCAAACCAGATGAAAGTGCGCATTCAGCGTCTGCTCTGCCAATAATGCAAGCGTAGAAGACGAAATGTGCTGTTTACCTGTGCAAAGAAAGAAACAAGGAAAGAAAAATGTCTGAGGACTTCAGTGTTGAGGAAGAGCATGAGTTCTTTGCCGAGCAGAATGCGCACTTTCATCTGGTTTGGTCTGCCGCGGTTTCCGTAGACTCGTGAACGCGCTTTTAGGAAATCCTATACACTACTGTTTATGCTCTAAAAACATTCTAAATGACTTCGTTTCGAGTAAATTATGGACGCTACCCGCTCAGGACACTTGGAATACATTGGACGAGCAGTATGGAGGAATATTGACACGTTTTTTGTGGACTTTTATGGACCTTTCTGCCTCGGGCGCCATAGACCTCCATTATTTGAATGTCAGCAGACAGCAAGAAGCCTCCCAGATCTCCAGATGCATTTGAGATATCAAAAAAGTACTCCAGAGTGTTGTTCAGCATGGGGGTGAGTAGAAAATGAAGGCTAATCATGTTTTGGGTGTACTATTCCTTTAAGAAAGAAAAACCAACCTTAAACAGAGGGGGGGGGGGGGGGGGGGGACTCAGAGTTCATCTTTCAGAAACCTACAATTCAGTGATAGAGTTGATTCCTTCCCGCTATCATCGCAGCCCCAACCCCTTTACAGGAGAACAGAAGACCTCGCCTGTTCATCCAGGCCAACAATTCCCTTTAACGACCCCCATTCCAAAGGGGTGGACCCATTCATGTGTTTCTATTTGCATGTTTTCTAAACTAAAACCTGGCTTTGTTGGGCTGCTGGATAAAACCTGGAACTAAACGCTATTTCTGACATTTTGAATATAAAAAGCTTCCTGGATGGAAGAGAAACGTCTTCAAACTTGGAAACAAAGTCCAGTGGATTGATTTTTAACTTTTTTGGAATTACTATGACCTGGATGACTGAGAATCTTCACCAGCATGTTACACTTTTTATCATCTATAAAATGAGCATTATATTAAATAGCACTGACTAACTAGACCAACATGTCATTTATTCTAATTAAGAACACTGACTGCACAAAGCGCCTTTTCTGTGGTTTCCCTTGGCTCTCCTAGTGTTCATCGACAGTCAGGCAGCCTGTCTGGGACTTGAACATGCTGCTGACTTCAGGCTGGATGAAGGTGGATGCATGGATTACAGTGCAGGGCCTGAGTATGTTTGTTCTGATGAACTGAACTCTGTTTTCTTTCTCTTCTTCGTAGGTCCGTCCAGCCTGATTCCGTCAGTCTTAACATGGTCCTAAATGAAATAAAAGATCCACTTAATCCTGTCTTCAGTGTTTGGTTCTATCTCTCTCATGGGGGGATTTACCATTAGTTGACTAGTGCCCCAAGTTTCTGGAGGCCCCATAAAACTCTGTTTACGTGTATATGTACATGTATATTGCTTTTTAAAGTACATTTCTGTCATTGATAGTCAATGGTTGAAACTTCCAGACAAAATGGACAAACCTCACCTTTGCTGAGGCTCTCCCAAGCTCATCAACAACAGCTGCAATTTGGTCCTGAAGATCAGTCCTGTGAAAGTCCAAACAACAGAACAGAAAGGTCAGCAGTGGAAGGCAGAGACAATCATTAGCATGCAAAGAGCCGGGTCAAAAGGTCAATGCATGCATGAAAAGCTAAAAACACAGTGAGAGCCCTGCTTACGGTAGGACCCATCCTCCATAGCTGCCCTGGGAACCAGAGACTGATGATAACTTTGGTCTAAATGTCAGCGCCTGGTATCACTCTGTGATTATCCTCAGACGAAAAAAAGTGCATCTAAGAAAAGTTTGTATGGTATTGCAGCACGGCCGCTGGAAGTGGGGGTGCTGCAGTACCCCCTAGTGGCAAGAGGGAGATAATAAAAATGTTTTAAAAATACTTTGCACAGTTTGTATATTTCTTATGAATGGTTTGAGAAATGAGTTTGACTTTTTATTCAACTATTAAGTGTATTTGGATTTTTATTTAATTATTTTGAGGCCTAATCAACACTAGTTCTCGAAAGTTACGTTGTCATGCCAACATCAAGCAGGCGAGTGGTCGCCGAGTAACGAGGTATCCCGTTCGACGCAGCAGACTAGTAAATGTATATAGTATAATGACAGAAACGAGGAGGAGATATGACCTAGAGACGCATTTCAGATTCCTGCGCTTATTAGAGATTTTATCTCTCTGACCTCAGAGCGCACCTGAACATTTGGAAGGGCCCCCTGCCTGTAGCTCAAAGTTAGAGCATGGAGCCGCCGCACACTTTCATATCTATCCATGCAGTTTAATGTAACCATAGTATTTTAGAGTGTTATTTTGATTCTATGTTCTTCTTGTAATGGATGTGAAGAACTGTTCAATAACGTTTAAATAGTATAATAATATCATTAATTAGGGATGCACGATATAATGGGCCCCCTATCGGTATCGACCTTAGAACTGAATATCGGACATCGGCCACCCCACCGATATTTAACCCGATATTTGATCAGCTTCTGAGTTTCTAAAGTCTAAAAACTAAAATAAAATACTACTTCTTCTTCTTCCTCAAAAACTTATTTTTTACAGACCTAAAAACTTCTAAAGACGAGGGAAAAAATATTGATACATTAAAATATCCCAATATCTTCATATGCTGATATATTGCCATTTAAAAACACCATATCAATGTCTTTTACTAATGAAATATTGCTATATGTCATCGTTATGCTACGAAATCCCCCGAAAATTCACCAAATGTTGCCATATTTTTATATGTTGATATATTGACGCGGTATCGATCTATTTTACTAATTTGCAAAATATCACGAGAGTTTGTAACAGAACGATGAAATTTCACGAGATTTTGAAAGTAAAATAGATCAATACCGCGTTTTTAAAAATCAATGTGATATCAGCATATGAAAATATATTTGAGTATATTATTTTTCAAAGTGTCAGAAATGGATAACAAAACTGCTATTTTCAATGACTTCTTATTTTTGTCCAGCTTTAACATCGGTATCGATATCGGTTATCGGCTACATGAGTTTTAAAATATCCGCATATCGGATATCGGCCAAAATCCCAATATCGTGCATCCCTATCATTAATTCTTTTTGGTTTGCGTAAAAGGATTTTGGAGCTAATAGAGTCACGTGTGACATAAACACAGTGACAGGTTCCTGCCAGCTGACCAAATCTATGGTGTTACAGTTTTATTAATTAATGGATCAGATATTCACCTGGGAACTGATGATGTCTCTGTGTTCCACAGACCCAGGTTCCACTGAAGTGTATATGACAGTAAAGTAGTGAATCTCAGTCTATATACTTATTTATTTTTACTGTATTTTAAATAGACCTATAGGCCCATAAGTATTTTGTCCAAAAAAACAAAACAATTTTCAGAGCATCCCCTGTTCAAAATGACTTCCTGTAATGCAGCAAGAACCAAAGAGCTGAGCTGCTTCCACCTCATGTTGGAGGAGCTGAAATTATCTATAGAGCAAAAAAGTGAAAACAGTAACAGCCAATAGACATGTTATCTACTGCTGTATGTGCACTAGGGGTGGGTATTGCCAAAGAAGTCACGATTCGATTCGAATCACGATTCACAGGCCACGATACGATTCTATCACGATGCATCACGATACTTGAATTATTGCGATGCATTGCAATATTTTCTCCTCCATGTTTTGTTTTTGAATGACTCGGCACAGTATCCCACGGCCGGAAATGCTTGTGACACAAGGCAGCGTGCGTCAACACATTTGCAGCGACATCTACTGGACTGGAAGTGGTATTGCACTTGTTTTTGGCTGATGTTCGCCAACCATTCATGCAATTTTATTTATTCATTTTTTTCAATTAATAATCGATTCTTGGCATCAAGAATCGATGCAGTAGATCACGAAAATTAGAATCACGATGCATCATCATCACGATTATTTTGCACACCCCTAATGTGCACTGGGTTTTATTATTCTCCCGTCTGCTGAGGAGCTTTATGGAGATTCTGGTCTCATTTTTCAATAGGACTTGGTTCAGTTAGAATGGTGGAGATGTGCTGGATGGCCGAACCGCACAGAGAACCTATGAAGAAAGCTGCTGTCCAGAGGAATCAGACACACCCATCAGTGTTGATGAGAAACACCAGAAACAACAACACATGATCCAGAGGCAGCAAGCCAACATACTTTTTATATATATACTAACATATACATATATAATATATATAATACATATATATATTCACATTTATATACACATACACATTTATATGTATATAAATGTATGTTTATGTATACATAAACACATATACATACATAAACACAGATATACACACATATATATATATATATATGTATATATATATATATATATATATATATATATATAAGACTTTTATATCTGTGGGATCAGCTGTATTATCTTTCTAATGTTTTAAGTTTCTAGGACTTTGATCTCCAGCTGATTTCCAGTCCAGATGATTCAGCAGAGATTCCTGGAGAGCAGCTAACCTGAGCGACTCTACTTTAACTCACCTCACTGCTGATTGGCGACTTGCAACCAGAGTGTGATCCAGGATGGAGATCCTGTCTGAGAAGATGTGGTTAATGTCAAAGGGGAACTCCATGGTGCAGACCGCTGGTAGCTCAGCTCTCCTCACCCTGAAGGAGGTTAGCTAGAAACACCGGAGCGATGGCTGCAGCTTCGCTAACTGGCTAAACACTGACCGGTTTATTCCTCCGGTTAGACCAGCAGCACCGCAGCTCTCTAACGCCGCTATGTCTGCTGTTGACACCGACCAGATGCTCCTGTTGGATGAGAGGAGCTCATTTCTATCGATGCTCCATTGTTCAGCTGAGACGCAGCGTCATTCCCGGTATTACCGTAAAACTCCGACAAGGATTTCAGGCGCGGTGCTTACAGCGGTAAGATCAGACAGACCAGTCTCTCTACAGGACGTCATAGCAACGCATAAAACTACATGTATGGTTAACAGTAACAACATTCACAAAATGTTTTTTTTTCGAAGTAAATTTTAGTTTAAGTTTTAGCAGCCGCATGGTTTAGATGTTTTACGGTAAATACAGAGGAAGAGGTTGTGCTTGACAGGCAGCCCTGCGTTAAACTATGCACTTTATCATATCACCTCTCTTATTTATTTCAGCCCTCCCTCGATACAAATTAAAGAATAACGCTTACTTGTTTTTTGTTTGTTTTGTGTGTGTTTTGTGTTTTAGTATTTTTATTATTTTTATTATTTTTATTTCTATATTAATATTATTTTATTTCTCAAGTGCATTACATTAACTAAACATCTGTTTACCTCGCAAATTGAAAGAAAGGAAAAAAAATATTAAAAAAGTGTTAGGAAGTGTTTTTTATACTTTGAGTTTGTCATTGTTACTGTTCCAAATAAAGTTATTAAAAAAAACAACAACAAAAAACCCCGTTAAACTATGCACAATAATAAACCCTAATGTTAAATGATTTTGAACGTTTTAACACCTATAGTTCCAAACGATACATGATAAATATTTTAATAAGAAAAATAAAACAGATCGACAGAATGTTATCGGTGTTATTGTTTATTCGATATGCTGAAACCACCATTAATCTCTTTTATTCACTGTATAGCCGATTGGCCGTTGGCAGCACACGTTACGAAGTCACCAGCCGCCATATTGGTACTCCCTAGTTAGACACGGTTGGAATATAAACAATAGGGAGGGGGGGTTATTGAATTATAACATAAAGATAAAGTCAAGGCTTTAACACACTTGCTGTAGCATCAGTAGATTACTTAGATATTAAGAATATTACACACGCCCCCAAGCAGCCAATCACATGGCGGCAACTCAGTGCATTTAGGCATGTAGACATGGTCAAGACAATCTCCTGCAGTTCAAAGCGAGCATCAGTATGGGGAAGAAAGGTGATTTGAGTGACTTTGAACGTGGCATGATTGTTGGTGCCAGAAGGGCTGGTCTGAGTATTTCAGAAACTGCTGATCTACTGGGATTTTCACGCACAACCATCTCTAGGGTTTACAGAGAATGGTCCGAAAAAGAAAAAACATCCAGTGAGCGGCAGTTCTGTGGGCGGAAATGCCTTTTTGATGCCAGAGGTCGGATGAGAATGGCCAGACTGGTTGGAGCTGATAGAAGGGCAACAGTGACTCAAATAACCACCCGTTACAACCAAGGTGGGCAGAAGAGCATCTCTGAACGCACAGTACGTGGAACTTTGAGGCAGATGGGCTACAGCAGCAGAAGACCACACCGGGTGCCACTCCTTTCAGCTAATAACAGGAAACTGAGGCTACAATTTGCACAAGCTCATGGAAATTGGACAATAGAAGATTGGAAAAACATTGCCTGGTCTGATGAGTCTCGATTTCTGCTGCGACATTCGGATGGTAGGGTCAGAATTTGGCGTCTACAACATGAAAGCATGGATCCATCCTGCCTTGTATCAACGGTTCAGGCTGGTGGTGGTGGTGTCATGGTGTGGGGAATATTTTCTTGGCACTCTTTGGGCCCCTTGGTACCAATTGAGCATCGTTGCAACGCCACAGCCTACCTGAGTATTGTTGCTGACCATGTCCATCCCTTTATGACCACAATGTACCCAACTTCTGATGGCTACTTTCAGCAGGATAATGCGCCATGTCATAAAGCTGGAATCATCTCAGACTGGTTTCTTGAACATGACAATGAGTTCACTGTACTCAAATGGCCTCCACAGTCACCAGATCTCAATCCAATAGAGCATCTTTGGGATGTGGTGGAACGGGAGATTCGTATCATGGATGTGCAGCCGACAAATCTGCGGCAACTGTGTGATGCCATCATGTCAATATGGACCAAACTCCCTGAGGAATGCTTCCAGCACCTTGTTGAATCTATGCCACCAAGAATTGAGGCAGTTCTGAAGGCAAAAGGGGTCCAACCTGTTACTAGCATGGGGTACCTAATAAAGTGGCCGGTGAGTGTAGATTTAATCCCTCAAAATAATCTGACACTTAAGGAAGAGGATTAGGGCCACTGAAAAAAAAAAAAGTAAACTGCTCAAAGGAGCTGTTTGGACCTGTTCACTTCCTGTTTGGATTAACTGAGTGTGCAACTGAGTGTGCAGCTGTTCAGAGGATCTCCATCTGAAGTTAAGTTATTTTCTCTGTGATATCTCTGTATCTAAGTAACTCTAACTGACTACTTTAAAACATAGCACCTTCTGCTGCACTTTTCTACTGAGCACTTGTCAGTTTCACACGGTTTTATTTCTGATAGCAAGAAGTAGCTAGCCTAGGCTAGCGCTAGCTTAGCATTGCTATGGCTTCTCTCTCTCCCTCCCTTGACTCTTTTCCAACTCTTCCTTCTTCCTCTCCTCTCTCCTGCTCTCTGTGTCAGATGTTCAGTTATTCCTCTGCCTCCTTTAGTGATAATGGGATGTGTAATAAGTGTAGTATTTTTGTAGCTTTGGAGGCGAGGGTGTCAGAGTTAGAATCCAGGCTTCAGGCTGTTGAAGTAGGCCCCCCACGTAGCTGTCCTCCAAAAGTGCCTGAGCAGCCAGGCGATTGGGTAACTGTACGCAGAAAGCGTAGTCGTGGATCTCTGCCCACTGGTCACCACCAACCCGTTCACGTTTCTAACCGGTTTTCCCCACTCAGTGACACACCCACTGAGAAGCCCACTCTGGTGATTGGCAGCTCCATAGTCAGAAACGTGGCATTAGAGACACCAGGGACCATAGTCAAATGTTTGCCGGGGGCCAGAACGGGCGACATCAAATCCTACCTGAAACTACTGGCTAAGGATAAGGTTAAATACAGTAAGATTGTTATTCACGCTGGTGGTGATCTGACCAGTGATGACATGTTTAGCCGCATGTCGTCATTCAACCGCTGGTTGTCTAGGTGGTGCCCTGAAAACAACGTGGTCTATATTAATAATTGGCAATCCTTTTGGGGAAAGCCTGGTCTGATTCGGAGAGACGGCATCCATCCCACTTTGGATGGTGCAGCTCTTCTTTCTAGGAATCTGGCCACATTTATTAGTCCTCCAAAACCCTGACCACCCAGGGTGCAGACCAGGAAGCAGAGTTGTAGTTTAACACACATCTCTGCAGCTTCTCTACTGTTACCCACTCTTTACTCCATCCAGACAGTGTCTTACCCACGACCAAAATCTAATAAATTAGCAAAGATTCCCAAAGGAGTAAATCATGATAATCTAATTAAAATCAAAATAACTCCAATGCGGTCTGTTTAACATAAGATCGCTTTCCTCTAAAAGTCTACTAGTTAATGACTTGATTTGTGATAATCACATTGACTTGTTTTGCCTTACAGAAACCTGGCTGCAGCAAGAGGATTATGTGAGCATAAATGAGGCAACTCCTTCAAGCTATTTAAATTTTCACATCCCCAGAAGTTCTGGGCGAGGAGGAGGAGTAGCAACAATCTTCGAGTCTGACTTACTGATTACTCCCAAAACAATTAATTCCTACAACTCTTTTGAACATTTAACCCTTAATTTCCCTGATCCAAATTTCAAGGCAAGAAAACCTCTTCTTTTTGTAACTTTGTATCGTCCACCAGGTCCTTACTCTGAATTTTTAGATGAGTTTTCAGAGTTCCTTTCTGATTTGGTATTAAATACTGACAGGGTCATCATAGTGGGAGATTTTAACATCCATGCTGACATTGAAGGCGATAGCTTAAGAGCAGCCTTTAATGCTATCTTAGACACTATTGGCTTTGTTCAAAATGTGAATAGTCCCACGTATTCTCATCTTCATACTTTGGATCTTGTGCTGACATACGGCATAGAATGTGAAGAAATAACAGTATTTCCTCACAACCCTGTCCTCTCTGACCACTTTCTAATAACCTTCAGGATTACTTTAACAGAGTTCTCCTCCCCCAAAAGAAGGTTCAATTTTAGTAGATCTTTATCAGATAGTGCAGTTATACATTTTAAAGAATCTGCTTCACTTTCTCTCTGCTCTGTGTCACTGAGCAGTGCTGCAGAGTGCAAAAGCTTAGCTTATTCCCCTTCACAGGTTGATGATTTTGTTTAGGGGGTTGCTAGTTCTCTGCGTATTGCCTTAGACAACGCAGCTCCTTTGAAAATGAAAACCGTTAAAAATAGAAAGCTTGCTCCTTGGTTTAATGCAGAGCTGCGTACTTTGAAGCAAAATGCTAGGAAACTGGAGAGAAAATATCGCTCCACAGGCCTGCGAGAGTCCTTCCTAGTCTGGAAAAATGGTTTACTGCTGTATAAGAGGACCCTTTGTAAAGCAAGAGCAGCATACTTCTCCTCATTAATAGAGGAGAATAAGAATAATCCTAGATTTCTTTTTAATACAGTTGCCAAACTCACCCAGAGCCATAGCTCTGTTGAACCGTCCATTCCACCTGCTCTTAGCAGCAATGATTTTATGGGATTCTTTATAAATAAGATTGATCTTATTAAAAATAAGATCATAAGCACTCCTCTATCCGCGATTGTACCTGAGGTAGTCATGGAATCTGAACCGGGTTTAGACTGCTTTGATCCAGTTGAACTCTCTGAATTAGCAAAATTATTGTCTTCATCTAAGCCTTCAACTTGTATGTTAGATCCAGTTCCAACCAGGTTATTTAAGGAGGTATTCCCTTTGATCTCCTCCTCCATTTTAGATGTGATTAATCTATCTCTGTTACAGGGATATGTACCTAAAGCTTTTAAGATTGCTGTAATTAAACCTCTGCTTAAGAAACCGTCTCTTGACCCAGATGACTTGGTCAATTATAGACCTATATCCAATCTTCCTTTCTTATCCAAAATTCTTGAGAAAGTAGTTGCCAAACAAGTTTGCGATCACTTCCACCATAATGAACTTTTTG